TGGAAAAGGCTCAGCACAGTACCTTTCTCATTGCGAACTGGGATGGCTCCAGCCGAGGACTGAAGGGGCAGTTGTTTCATGAGTGCGCTTGGGACTGACATGTTCATGGCAGCGGCAGTGCTTCCCAAACTTCACAGATTCCAAATGGTAAAAGCTACCAACGCCAGAACAGAAAAATCCTCACAAACTAGAGGCCCTGGACTTGCAACGGGACTGAAGGAAACACCACTTGCGGCGGAGCTAGAAGAACGGGAAGTGTGCCCCAGAGGATTGTGGGAGCAGGGAGGCCGCCTGGGCGCCTATGGGTAGCGCTTGGGCCGGCTATTGCCCATGTATATAGTCCCCCTGTAGTCCTCAGCCTCGCAGTGTTTGGACCTGACTTCTGACGGGAAGTTATTTTCGTTGAGGTTTGCTGTCCCCTCATGGGGAGGAAGATCAGAATTAAAGGTTTCCTTTGTTACCTTGGTTTGAAGCGAGGACAAGAGCCGCGAGGGCGACCAGCTCTAGGCCAAGTACAGACGCACCTCCCGCAAACTGCAGATGTTCCATCAAGGTCTTCGAAGAGCAGGGCCAGACTCAAGAGAAGTGCCCAAAGAGTGCCTGGAGCGCCTCCAGCGGGAGGGCAATGAAAACGAGATGCAGAGGATCCCGCCGAACTCAGAAAGGCTCAAGTCTCACCTCACCAAGATCCATGACCATGAGAGCCGCATGAAGCTGGAGCAGGAGCTGCGGGCACAGGCCTTGGACAACCGGGAAATCCGTAAGCGCATGAACATCCTGAGGCCAGACCTCAGGCAGCTGCGCAAGATCCGAGACCAGCACCGGGTATGGATCACCCAGAAAGGCGCCCGGCAGAAGGAAACCAACGAGTGGCTGGGAATCAAAAAGGAGACTGAACACCATTCTGCACTGATGAGAATGCTGATGACCTCTGTCACCATGAGGAGCAAACCTGGTGTGTGGGCAAGATCACCGCATGCAGGCTGAGGAAATGCTGAACGGCAAGCGGGATGGTACCTTCCTCATCCGTGAGAGCAGCCAGCGAAGCTGCTACACCTGCTCTGTGGTGGTAGACAGCGATATCAAGCACTGTGTCATCTACCGCACGGCCACTGGCTTGGGTTTTAGGGAGCCCTACAACCTGTAGGGGCCTCTGAAGGAGCTGGTGCTGCATCACCAGCACACCTCCCCCGTGCAACACAATGATGCACTTAGTGTCACAGTGGCACATCCCCTGCCCCACCCCCAAGCCAGCCCCCTGACTCATACAGAGGAGGATTCCATCTTTCTGTCTGTCTCTCTTCTTTGTGAATTTTTCTCTGTCTCAATCTCTCCCTTGTTTTTTCTGAGTCTTTCTCTTCCTATTACTCTTTCTGTCCCCATTCCGTCCTCTCTATCTCTCTTAGTCTCTGTGCCTCTAAGTCTCTGTTTGAGGAACATACCTCCTCCACCCTATACCCCCTTCTCCCGTGGGTACTGCCCTACCCTGGCTCTGGCTACCCCCACCAGTTCCTACAGTTCCCCCAAGTTCCCCCTCCTGTACCTGCCATGTTTACAAAGGCCCCTGGGTGCTCAGCCCCACCTGGTGCCTGATTTTTAAGCCATAGACCTGGGGTCAGGGCAGGAAGAAGGCAAGAAGGAACTTTGCTGGGCCACTTCCAAAAACCTCATTTGGAGGGGAGCATGGCCAGGTCCCGCCCACAGACCCAACTTCCCATCCAAACCCTGAAGTGAAACCATACAGGTTACCGCCACATGGAGATGCTGTACAGACCCTCCTTCCCCAAAAGCAAAATTATTGAAAATAACCTCCAGAGCTGGGCCCTCTCTGACCCCAGGTTTTCCAGGAACTGAGGCTGCAGCAGGTACTGCTGGGCCAGGCGAGATGCACCGCTGCCACAGCACCTCCGCTCCATGCAATTTCAAGGCTTCTCCTTGATCATGTTGGGTTCTGATTTTGTTTCCTTGACAGTAAACCCATTTTCTCCTCTTTTGGGACAAGAACTCTGGTTTTCTATGCTGCCATGGACCCTCCTCCTGCCTGTCCAGCTAGGAGGTACATTTATGGTACATTGATACTGATGGGGATATAAAACATTGAACTCAAAAAAAAAAAAAAATGGGGGGTGGGGGTTGGCTTGTGACAAATAAGAAACTTTGGAGACAGTGAAAGGCAGTTTGTCCAGATTGTTGAGAGCTAAAAATTAGAGTTCAATCGGGATAGAAATCCTGCTAAAAGCACCTGATGCCTGAAATCTGAGCACTCTAGTTCAAGTTTTTGGAGACAAACTATTAAAAGATTCCTAGTTGGAAAGTGTTTGTATAGAAGCCCATAACTATTTACTGTCTGCTGCATTTACCATGCTTAGTTCTCTGTAAGGAATATGGAATAATATTAAATGCCTCATGTTCTCAAGAACCTTGATTTTTAAAATAAAAAAATAATGAAGAAATATAGATATTAAAAATAAAAAAAGCTTGCGTTTTAGGGGTGAAATCAGTTAAGAATACCCTTGATTTCAAATATAGATTATCATTGAATCTGGGCATAAGCCAATCCTCAAATCCCTCAAGAACTGGAATTAACCTGATGTGAAATATTTTCATTGGAAATTAGAGTTAGATCCTCTAGCAATTCCCTATTTATGGCCATAAAACAAGGACTCATAGAATTCTTGCCCATAGCAAATGTGTAATGTCTTCTAGGCATGTTCAATCCAGTTTATATTCTGTTCTGAAAGTAAGGTTTCACAGATGGATACATATGTCTATATTTTGTATCAATCATATCTATCTTCTACATGTAGGTCTCTAATAAAGATCTCCTGCTTGGGCCACGTTGTTGGAAGAAAGGACAATTGGAAGTCCGGAAAAACTTTCTGTAGCTTCTTCACAGATAACATCTACCAATGAAAGAAAAGCTGGTTGTATGAGGAATTGCTCAGTCTATTGTTTACATTATCATTTGAAGAAATTACACCATTCATCCCTGTCATTGTTCCAGTAAATTCAATGATTCAACTGAGGAAGGTAATTCCAATATTAGGTTAAAAAAAAAAAAAAAGGAAAGGAACAGGTGATGAGAAAAATTGCGTTTTTTCTGAGATATGCACATGGAGCTCTGCAGTAAATCTAATTTGTAAATAGACTTGGTTTCAACTGCACACACTATTCTCTTCCTAAAACTATAAAATAAAGAGGGGGAGACATGTTTAATTTTAGGTCATGTAAGATAGACATGACTTTCACTGTTCTTTAGCACACTCATTAAACAAGGGATACACAAGGCTACTGCAAAGCAATGATTAATAACATTACTCTATAGATTACCATGGAAACCATTCATTCTGGTTACAGGACATGTTGTTATTGCTTGAGTAAAGCAGAAAAGAGTAGCATCTGTTTTTTTCCAAAAGTTGCTGGCTAAACCTGGTTACCTTAATGAATATTCCCCTCTACCCTGAAAGATGTCATTCCAATGTCAGATAATAGAGCAGGAATTGTATGGTCCTGTGTTAGACTCCTTGAAGGACAGTTTTTGGCCTACAGTACTAAAATAATATGTTATGGGAGGAAACCATTATAGAGGCTTTCTGTGCCACTTAATTCTTTGTCCAGGAGCTTGTTCGTGGTAACTTTAAGATGTACAGAGAGGAGGCACTTTCCCAGCACTGGCAGTTCATTCAAGTTCTTTTTTGATTAAATAATTCTCCTTTGGCCCTTCCTCCATGTACATTAAATAACATTTTACAAGAGCTTCAGACAAATCTCTCTGGCCATAAATAGTCAATGTCTTTCACAGAACATTTCCAGACACTTTTTATCTCATTCTATCTTTTACATGTTGATTTTTAAACAGTGCCTTAGATTTGGAAATATCTCTTTTATTCCTGCTTTGGAAAGGAAAGAAAAGAAGCTGAGGTTCAGAGTCAAACAACAAGTTTTCAGAGCCTACACATCAGTTAATTCAATTGCTAGGTAAGTTACCCTATCATGCCCTCTTGGAATCAGAAATATAAAAGCAGGGCAGTTCAGAGCACATGGGGACACTTTGATAAATGGAATACAGCCAGGATTTCTATACTTCCACACAGTCTCTTCGGAATTACTTTTCCATACTTCAGCCGTTTCATTGAAACCACTTTTCATTTCTCATGGTTTTTTATTAATGGCTTAATACAAATAGTTATTTTAGACTTTATTTTCATAATAATTTTTCTTGCATCAAGGCATAAGGCAATCTGGAACAAAAATAATATAAACCGGATTGAACAGCGCCTATGAGATTTTTATGGCAATTACAGGGAATAGGCACTCTTAAATTTCAGGACTACAGACACTTTTGCTCAGTACATTTTGCCTTATAACAAAGAGATTTGTGAAATGTTTCCTCCTATGCGTTATTTGAATCTGATGCTGGGGAAACAAGAAAGAGCAAGAGAGAAAAATCTATAGAAATTTGTATTATATTACCTCCTTTTTTATGTGTTTTTTTTTCCCCCCTGATGTTGACTGTCTTGGAGAGATGCTCAGACCCTCATCTTGGTGGTCAGCGTGTTCTACTCTGCACCCATGGCCAGACCTAAGCCCCATTGAGCAATTTCACACCAGATAATCAGGATATTTTCCAATAGGCCAAACGCACTGCCCTCCCTCATCCCCAAGTTCTCAGGGTAACAGAAGTGCAAGAAGACCACAGGGCCTTTCTTGTTGTTGTTTTAAGAGGAGGCACTTTCCTACAATCTTGGAACTGATTGTTACTGAAGAGAAATCTTAATGCCATCCTCCTTTGTCCTGTCAGCTCGTGAGTGTCTGCTGCCTCCTTCCAAGGGGTGGTTTCTGAATAATTACCCAGGGACCATCATGTGCCATTTTCACCAAGTCCCTCCTCTTGGCAGCTACACATTCTGGTGTCAGTCATCCACCCGCAAGGCAATGAGAGCCCTGAAGGTCTCCAGCAGCCCAGGGCAATAAATCAAAACGCCCAGGAGGAAGCTTACCTGTGGGGCATGCCTGTGATATAGGCAGTGGTGCCCTCGATGGACAGGTCGCAGAGTTTGAGGTACCAGTTCATCTCCATCTCACGCACCAGCGCCAGCTGCTGCGCCCTGAGCTGGCTTTGCCCCGTGGGGCTGAGGCTGCCGTCCTTCCCATTGTCAGTGGCTTTCTTGGGAGGCTTATCCTTGGCCGCCTGTTTCCTTAACTTGGTGGTGTTGCTCTCTTCTACCACCCGGGCTGACAGCATCTTGTATGTCAGAAAAGACTCCAAGTGCCTGTCATCAAAGCAGCTGGAGTGGGTTTTTCTGCTCGGCCTTCCTCGTCTTCACTGCCTTTGCCCATCCCTTTAACCTTATCCTGCTACGAAGCTGTAACTGAGCCGGGTCTGTGGCTGGGCATGAAAGGGTATCTCTAATTTTCCTGAGGAAGAGCTGGGGACCGGTGACAGCACAGAACATGGAAATTGTCAAAACAACCTCCAACAACTTGGTAAGACACAAGTGTTGCTGTGCCCTGGCTTCTGCAAAGTGTGGACCTCGGCTTCATCTAACAGTAACTCTCAACCTTAGCTCCTGAGGCGTGGTAAATTATATTTGATTATCTTGTGAGAGTTGTTTTTAACAAGGGACATGTACAGGCTCGCTAGCCATTCTTTATTAGAGTCCCTTTAGAGTTCTAAAAGTTTTAATGTGAATTTCCTCAAGTCTAATATCAATGAAAGGGGAGGGTAATAGTCCTTTTGTGTAAGCCTTAAAATAAAAATTTTAATTGATTTTATTATCCTTTGGGGGGGAGAGCTTTTTGAATGTCAGTGAATCACTATGTCAAACAGTCTTTCATTCTGAATGAAAACACGATGAGCCCACCATAACTGACTCAGTAATTGGCCCTCGTGATGATGCTGATGGTTGGAAGCATGAGAATCATCTTCTAATCCAGGGGCTGAGGCTGACGTTGGAGTGGGGGGGGAAGGGGAGTAGAAAGAGGAAGTGGTAAGAGTCTGAGTGCGTTTGGATATGAATGAGGCAGTATGCCGACTTCACATGACTACTAGTTCCGAATATGGAAAAAACGTTCAGTTAAGATGAATGGCATTGACCCACACACATGCCCACCCATGTGACATGTGACCTCTGTCTTAGCTCAGGACACATTAATGTCAGTGTCCACCTAAGCATTTGGTGACCCTCTAAGCCCCTGGAGCCCCCTAATCAACTCCAGTGCCTCTGGGATCAACTGCTCTGTGCCTGCTGCATGTGAAGGACTTGGGACGGTGTGTGAATTTCCTTGTCCATGCAAACCCGTAAATTAGAAATCAGAGAAATATAGTAAGGTCCTATAGACTCTGAGAATGGCAAGAGAGAAAAGAGGAAAAAGGAGGCTCCGGTTAAAGAGGTGGCCCTTTTGGAAAGTTTGCAAATGACTTTGCAAATCCCTATGGCTGCCAAGTAGTCCAAGCCAAGAATGAGAGGATAGCAAGTCACACTATGTGGACTCATCCATATTCAGGTAAAAGCTAGTTCATATTAGCTTCCAGGGTAGTCTAGGACCAGAACCAAGACCACCAACCAATGTGCAATCTGAAACGTTAATCCGTGGGCAAGGAGGCAGCTGCTACCAAGCACCAGGTCTGCCCCCGCTGAAGCTGTGTGGTCTTAGGAATCGTTAACATCACCAGCAGCCTCTCCAACTCTCCTCTCTACTCACCGCCCCTTGAGTCATAGAAGAGCTTCAGCAACATGGTATCCAATAGCAATAGGCTCCCCAAGTATAGACTCTGGAAACAGTTTCCAGTTTGATATTCTTGGGGATGTGTCAATGGAGGAGATTGCAGTGGAACTGGGGAGAAGGGGTGGTCTATGCACATTCAACATGGGGCCATCACACTCCCTTTGGGCTGCCTTCCTCGGGAAGCAGTGTTGTTGTGTTTGAGAGCTTTGCTCTGGGTTTGAATCTACATCATATACCTGCTCTGTGATCTTAGGCAAATTACTTTATGCTTTAGTTTCCTAAAAAGAAAAAGGGATAATTGTCTACTTTTGGCAGTTTTAAAACATGGCTCCCAACTTCTTTGACACGCCTTTCATTGACGAGTGAGGTCTACTTCTCTTCCCCTGCAGCTGGGTGGGCTCCTGGTCAGTAAAATCTGGTGGAAGTGAAACTGCCCTGTGGTGGAAGGAAGGCCATTTATCTTTCACCCGCTGCTCTGGAGATGTGCATTCTGGGGGAACTCAGCTGCTACCTAAGGAATCTCATTACCTTGGGATTGCCATGGTTGGGAATCACATGTAATCGCTCTGATCAGTAGCCCCGGCCGAGTTCCCAGGCAAGTGCCAACTCCGTGAGGAAGCCAGCGTGAGCATCTGGGCACGGTCCATCCTCCAGATGGCAGAAGTCCCAGCCAACCTCTGACTGTCACTGCACGGGACAGGCCACGTTAGCGCAGCCCCTCCCAAATCCTTCCCCACGAACTTTTGAGCCAAATACAATGGATGCCTTATGACCACCATTAAGTTTGAGGGTTACCTTGCAGCAGTAGTCACCAGAACACTACTCATATCTTTATTATAAATATTTAACAGAAGATGTGAGAAATACTTAGAACCGTGTCTAGCATATATTAACATTTAATCAGTATTAATACTTATCCTCCAGGTTAGATACTATTGCAGCACTGGCATTCAAATGTTCTGCTTACGTTTTCCTTTTTTAAAAAAAAAAATTGGTAAACTAAGTATCAACGTAAACATTTTAAAATATGGAATATTTTCATCATACATTTTTAAAAATCACAAAAGATGCCAGGCCCAGCATATTTTAAGTGTTGGTGTTTTTAAAATTAAGTTGTTTAAGATACATCAGTATCTTAAATGTATCCAATGGAATTTAAATCCCATAGCTATTTGATATCTATCATCATCCATTTAAAAAATTCATGAGCATGCCTTTTAGCAGTTGGAAATTTTACATTCTTCCTTTTTCTCCCTGAACTTGTTTTTCCAGTCCATTATACAGCCAGAATTTTATGCTGATATTAAATATTTGTGTGTTTGAAAATATTTCACAGATGACCCTAACAAATATTTTTGTTTCTATGCAACAAAAATATGAACATAAAAAAATGTTAAATTTTTACTTTCTATGCCCATAAAACTCTAAGTGTTATAAAACATCTCAGGAATTGGGTTATCATGACAATTATTATTAGACATAATTGATCAAAATTTGATTTTCTAAATTTGGAAAAATTATTGCTTAACATGATAAGTAAAATATTATTTAAAATGTATCTCTTAATGACATGGATGGAGCTGGGATTTCTTTTTCCTGAATTAAGTTACGTATCCATAGAGTGATATTTATGAATAGACTGAGACAAGATGCAGCATCAATTGTATTACCTTTTGTGTTTTTCCTTTCTCAGATACATGTTCTGAGAAATCTTGTTCATATAGATAAGTTCATGGAAGAGGAAGTCTTTTTTATCATAGTAAAATTATTCAGATCTTTAACTGTCTACTCGGATATATATAAAAAGTCAGGATAATGTGTCATTAAAAATATAATAATTTATCTACCCACAACTCTGAGATGGGAAGCTTTTAGAAGGTGGTGACAGAGGAGTGATATGATCTTTAAAAAGGTCACTATGTTACTGTGCTGGAACAATCTATAAAGGTCAAGGAAGCAGAGGGGAGGGCAGTCTGGAGGCTGCAACAATAACCTAGGAGAGATATTGGTACTTAAACCAAGGGAGGTAAAATAAATAAATAAATAAATAAATAAATAAATAAATAAATAAATAAATAAATAAAGTAGTCAAACTCTGTATACATATTTTGAAAGAAAGGGCAGAATTCCTGGTGGATTGGTACCAGGGAAACAGTGTAAAAGAATGGCAGATGTTAAAAATTACCCAAAGAATTTTGACCTGAGCCATTTGTTGAGACTGGGAAGATGCAGAAAGGTCAAGTTTGCTGGGTGGGTGAAGGTGTAACCAGAGGATTGCCTTTGTATTTACTCACATACTCACCATTGCTGATGCTCTTGCTATCTTCCTAACCCATGGCTCCATCCATTATTGTTTGCTGCAGTCTGAAGAATTTCCCTGAATATTTATGTAGATCTACTAGCAATAAATTCTCTTTTACCTGGAAATAATTTTATTTCACTTTCATCCTTTTTTAAAAAATATTTTATTGATTTTTTTACAGAGAGGAAGGGAGAGAGATAGAGAGCTAGAAACGTCAATGAAAGAGAAACATTGACCAGCTGCCTCTTGCACACCCCCTACCGGGGATGTGCCCACAACCAATGTACATGCCCTTGACCAGAATCGAACCTGGGACCATTCAGTCCGCAGACTGACGCTCTACCACTGAGCCAAACCAGTTTCGGCTCACCTTCATCCTTAAAGAGTCCCCCCTCCTTCCCTTCCCCCCAACCCCCATTCTTTTTTTTCCCATCACTTTCAAGATGTGTTTTCATTGTCTTTTGGCTTCCATATTTTCTGATGAGAAGTTGGTGATCAGTTGAGTCATCTTCCCTTGTATGCAATGTGTTAGATGTTGCTGGATGTGTTCAATCTTTTCTCTTTATGTATTTATCCTGCTCAGAGTTTGCTGAACTTTTTGAATCTGTAAAGTACTATCTTTCCCCAGATTTTGATAAGTTTAGTCTATTACTTGTACAGATTCTCTCTCCTCTGAGACTCTGATAACACATATATTAGATTTTTTGATGTTATTCATATCCTCGAGGCTTTGTTTACTCTTTTTTAATTCTAATTTCTCTATTCTTTAGATTGGATAATTTTATTGATCTCCCTTGAAGCTCACTTTGTCATCTCTATTCTGCTAAGTGCATCCAGTAATTTTTTTATTCAGTTTTAGCATTTTCATTTGGTTATTTTCTATATCTTTATTACTCCAATATTTCTTATATTTTCTTTCACTGCAAGCATCTTCTTCTTTATCTCAGTGATCATAGCAATAATAGCTGATTTTAAGCCCTGACAGATAAATTTCTCTTGAACAAACCAAAAAAAAAAAAAAAAAAATGGAGGGAGAAGGGAGAAAAACCTGCTCTAATTACATCTCTCCTTGACTCAAAATTATCCAATGTTTCCTTTATACCAGAGAATAATGTTGAAACTCATCAAATTGATTTTTAAAGGTCAATTGCTACCTGTCTGCAGTCTACTCATTCAGCTTTTATCCCGTTGCCTCTTTGCACAAAGTGTGTTCT